AGGCAGAAATAACAGGGGAGATGCGTGGGGGGACGGGCGAGGGCTCAGACGGAGAATGGAGGCCCAGTCTGGGGAGCCCGGATAGAGTCGGGGTACGGGGAGGGGTGCAGGGCTTGGGGGAAGCGTGTCAGGCCTGGTCCTGGGGGAGGGCCCCTCCGCCCGGCAGGAGGCCTGGTCAGGCAGCCTCTGGGCCCTGCCAGACCAGTGTGGAAACTGCGTCGGTCTGTCAGGCCGTGAGGCCACTGGGGAATGTGATGAGGCTGCTGAAATGGGGACCAGGCCCAGCGGGAGAAAGGGGGCCCCCTCCCCTGGCAGAGGTGGGATGTGGCTGCAGCTTCCCAGAAACCGGGTCTGGTTCTGCCGACAGAGACTGGCTGACAAGGCTTGGATTGCAAAGCCAGACCTAGAGGGCTGGAGCGTGGCCTGCTCCTGGGCCTCCTGGGGAGAGGGCGCCGGGAGTGGGGGTGTGGGCCCGTGTGGGGGCACCCCGCCTCCCAGCCAGGACATTCTGCCTCGAGCCCACCTCACTACAGATGGACGACCTGAGCCCCAGCGACAGCGAGAGACATGCCCAGGGCACTCAGCCAAGTCAGGGTCTCCCCACTGCTTCCTGAGACGAACCCCCACAGTCCCCAAGTGTCACTCAGCAACAGGCAGTGGGATGAGCCAGCCCTTGTCTCAGATCCCACTCTGTCACCTCCCGGCTGTGGGCCCTTCGTCTCATTACTGCAACCTCACTGAGCCTCAGGTCCCCATCTGTGAAATGGGTATAAGCCCACACACAAGGGTCGTTGTGGTCCTTCAATAAGACAAGGTAGGCCTCAGGCTTGGTGTGGTCCCTGACACATAGTAGGTCTTCGGACATGCTTGGTTGCTCCTCCTCCCCTGCTTGCACGTTCCTCCCGGCCAGCCAGTGGGCGCTAGGACCCCAGCTCCCCTGGGCCCTCGGGTCCCCAAAGCCCAGCCCCTGTCCCCCTCATTTGTTTATTGAGCAAACACTTACTGAGGGCTCACTGGGTGCCAGACGCTGTTCTGAGGAGGAGGCCATCAGGCATGACGCGCAGCGTGGCCAAAGGCTCAGCGAGCCAGGCTGAGGACTCCAGGCCTCACGAGCACACTAATCTACCCTCTGTTCCAGCAGCATCCGTTGTGCCCCAGGCCCCAGCTTAGGCCCCAGGCCACAGCTGGAGCTGAGGGGGCCTGAGTGGGGAGGAGGGGCCGAGAGTTTGCATCCTCTAGGATTTGCTAATGAGTTAGAAATCTCAGCCTGGTGCCGCACACTGTTTTAACTTGCTACCCAGACCCAACACCCTGTAATTGCTGCCTTCCCTCCTTCTGGGCTTCGCTGGGTGCATTGAAGGGCCGCCAAGTCCCCTGCAGCTGAGAGCCCAGAGAGGGCAACAGGCCCACGTCCCAGCTGAGAAGATTGAGGTCAGAGATGAAGGTTCTGCTTGGAGTGGGAACAAGTGGTATCATCAGGCTGCTCATGGTGTGACAGCCAAGGGCTAGGGTGGTGTTGGAGGCGAAGGAGGTTTGTCCTGGTCACATGGGGCCCAAGTGTTGGAGGGGAGACTCAGACCCCACCCTCAGAGGTCTGGAGTCAGGGGAGGGCCAGGCTCTCCTGGAACACTTTCCCCTTACCTGGTTGGACTCCGCTTGGACTTGGCCTCAGCTGTATGGCTCCTCCTCCAGGAAGCCTGCCCAGGTCTTCCAGGCTGAGTCAGGTTCCCCGCTCTGGCTCCTGTAACACCCAGCTCTGCCCCCTCCTAGTCTGGGTCCCACTCTATCACTACTGTTGTCCCCACCAGACCAAGAGCTCCATGAGAGCAGGGGTGGCACGTCCATCTCCACGGCCCAGTACCCGGCCTGGCACAGAGCAGGCAGCCACCACTGAGAGAAGAGACAGAGCGTGGGGCACTGTGGCATTTGGGGACCGTGGGCAGGTTATAACACCTGTTTCCCCAGAACGAGAGCTTCTCAGACCTTATCTAGAGAGGTGGCCACGACGGCAGAGGAGAGAGAGTGGCTCTGTGAGTTACATAACCTCCTCGCCTCAGTGTTCAAACCTGCAGGATGGGAGAATGACAGTGCCCACCTTGAAGGGCCGTTGGAAGGATTAAATGAGTACACACAGGCGAAGCACCTAGAACGGTGGGCGGTGCCCAGCGAACCCCGTGTAAGTGTTTGCTGACGCCCGGTCTTGGACTCCAGCTGAATGTCCTGTGCTCTGGGCTGGTGGTTTTGTTCTCTCACTGATGATAGACTTTGATCGCTTGGTTACGGTGGTGTCTGCCAGGTTTCTCCTCTGTAAAGTCACCTTTCCTTTTTCTTTTTTTTTAACCCTTTCTATACTTCCACACCTCCTTTCTTCGGAGGGGTGACCAGTCCACGCTCAAGGTGGCAGGAAAGTCAGCGTCACCTGCTGGGCGTGGAGAATCCACGGGAATTTCTTGAAATTCGGCAGTTGGGAAGATTTGTCTAGTTTACGTCATTGATTTATCCGTTTATTTATATCAGCATGGACTCGAGTGTGTTTTATACTTTGGATTATGGTCTAATTTGTTATTTGTTTTTTGTTGCTCAACTTGTTCCAGCTTTGGCCGCTGGGAGCCCTTGCTGGTCGGCTCCTGTGTCTGTCTGACACAGCCCCGCCTGTTAAGTTTTTGAGCGCTTCCTCACTCTCTGACATTACAAGATGCAAGATACAAGAACATACAAGATCTTGTATGTTCCCTGCCTCAGCCCTAGAATCGGCCATTTCTCTAAAACGCTCTGGTCCCTTTTATTGGGGAATGGTTTTTAGGAACCAAGACCCAAAGGGCTTGGGCTGGGTGAGCTTATTGCTACACAGGTGCATCTAGGCCCTCTAGGAGACAGATCCGGGTTTGCTTTAATTTAAAAATGAAGTGTCCCACGGCCGGGTGCGGTGGCTCACGCCTGTAATCCTAGCACTCTGGGAGGCCGAGGCGGGCGGATTGTTTGAGCTTAGGAGTTCGAGACCAGCCTGAGCAAGAAGAGTGAGACCCCGTCTCTACTAAAAATAGAAAGAAATTAATCGGCCAACTAAAAATATATAGAAAAAATTAGCCAGGCATGGTGGTGCATGCCTGTAGTCCCAGCTACTCGGGAGGCTGAGGCAGGAGGATCGCTTGAGCCCAGGAGTGAGGTTGCTGTGAGCTAGGCTGATGCCACGGCACTCACTCTAGCCTGGGCAAAAGAGTGAGACTCTGTCTCAAAAAAAAATTAAATAAATAAAGTGTCCCCTCCTGCCAGTTGTGGGGTCCACTGGAGACTGCAGACAGCTGCCCACTGGCCTTTGAGCACCGGACCCCTGTCTAGGGCACACAGGCCCGTGCAACCTCACACGCCCTGAGAAGGGCCCTGTGTCTTTCAGGGATCTCGGGAGCAGAGCACCTGGAGTTACCTCCCCCCTTGCTGAGCCACTTCCTGTGTCCATTCCTGCTCATCCGTGGGGCCACTGGGTGGCTGGGCTGCTTTGGAAACAGGACTCAGGCCTGGCCTCAGTATGCCCTCGAAGCACAGACTGTTGTGGGTTTGCAAGCTGCAGGCTCAGCCCCTGCTGGACCGACAGCTTCGTCAGTGATGGTGACAGTAGCCATAGCCCAGCCACAACTCCGTGGTGGTCACCTGGGCCAGGCCAGGCCAGCATCAGGCACCAGCAAGGCCTGACTCAGCCACCGTGCCCAGCACACCCAGGAGGCCTAGCGCTAACAGGAGGAAGGCCTGGGCAGGTGTGCCCTCACCTCCCCCAGCCTCAGCCCTAGCAGACGCGGGCGTGTCTCACTGCTGCTCAGGGGGCCTGGGCGGGACCCAGAGGGAGCCAGCTCTCCTGCAGCAGCAGGGGCTTGGGGCAAGGCAGGCCGGCCTGGAGTCCCCAGGGCAAGCTGGCACCCTTCTGCCTTTGCCAGCGTCTCCCTCCCATCTCACCACAGCTCCAGGCTGGGAGTCAGGAGGCCCGAATTCCCGGCCTGCCTCTACCAGTGACAACAGTTACGCCACACCCTGCTTAAACCTTCAGTGGCTCCCTATTTCCCTCAAATGAAATCCCCTCTCCTGGTCCTGCCTTACAACGCCCTGGAGACCTCTCCAGCAAACCACGTCATGCCTTAGTAACACCAAATTGCTTGTGGTTCCCTTGCACAACCATGTGGTTTCACACCCCCGCATCTCACCCTACCTGCATCGGCCCCTCCTGCTGCTTCAGTGGTTAATTCCTGCTAGTCCCTGAGGTCTCAGCTCTGGGTCACCTCCTCCAGGAAGCCTTCCTCCTGGGCCCCAGATCCTCTCTGCTCACCTGGTTCACCACTTTCCTAACTTCCACTGTGAATAACTCTAGGCAGCAAGCTGGTATAGTGAAGGCTTGGGTGTGAAATTGGGACTCTGGCTTCCCTCTAGGCCTCTGTCGTGTGACTTTGGGCAACCACCGCACATCTCCGAGCCGCCGTCTTCCTTATTTATGAGAAAAGCATCTCGGGATTCCCAGCCCTGCTTTCACTTCTGGCCTCTGCCCCTAACTCGCTGTGTGGCCTTGAGTAAGCCCAGTCATTGGGTTCAGCCTCAGTTTTCCTGTTCTGTAAAATGGGACCGCCCCCAAAACTCATAACAGAGTGCTGAGGCTCCAACAAGCCAAAACCTGTAAAAAGCTTTTGTCAACTGCAGAGCCTTCCACAGATGGGTGAACAATCTATTTTGTCATGTGGGAGGGAGGCTGGTGGCTACTCTTGCTGTTCTCCTGCCTCCAGAGATCAAAGGTGATCGAGACCTGCTGGCCACAGAGGCTGGGCTTGGTGGGGCCTGTCCCCTGGATCCCTGCCCACCTCCCACCCGCCCCTGCTTCCAGGGTTACATGACGCGTCTGCCTTGCGCAAGCAGCTCTGGTTAAACACTCAGGGGCCAGGGGCGCTCTCCACCCCCAACTCCCACCCCGGAGGCCTCTCAGAACCCACTGTTGCTCCCAAGACTAAAAGCCAAGATCAGCCTGAACCATCTGCAACTTTATTCAAGAGCAGAAATAAGTCATTTTCTAACAATAAATATAAAAAAAAATAATAATAAATTAAGGTTCGAAAAAAATACCCCACAAAACAAAGTCATTAACACTGATCGAATGTAAATGTTGTCTACAGGGCCGAGAGATAGGGCGGACTGGGGAGCGGGCAGGGACCTGCTGCAGCACCGGCCCCCCGCACCCCTGCCCCCCGCCTAGGAATGTCTGACACAGGCCATCCTCTGCCCCCAGCCCTGGCGGGGCCCCCCCGCCACACACACATTCTCTCCACAAAGTATAAAATATATATTAAAAAAAACCTCAACACAACCAAGCGTCCTGCGAGGGCCCCAGGAAAGCAACAGTTTGGCCAGTTAGGGGCCAGTTAGGGCTGAGGACGGGGCCTGGGGGTCTGAGGAAGGCACTAGAGGGACGAGGACCACTTTGGGTCTCACCTAGTCAAGTTCAAAGTCTGCCCTCTTACAGTGGGGGCCTTGAGGTACCCTGTGCACGGGCCCTGGGCCAAGCCCCCTTCTCCCGGATGGTCTCTTGCGGGAGACGGCGAAGGGAGGTCAGTTTAGAAACGTCCTGCGTGTCTGTCCCAAGACCTGGGTGGGGCTCCTGCCCCAGAGTTGCTGGGAACGTGGCGGTGCCCGCTAAGTGCTCGCCGCTGTCCTTCGTGGGGGAAGAGGGTCCGGGCCCCGGCTCCCTGAGCGTCTGCTCAGTTCGGTCCAGGGTGTGGTCCAAGACCCCCCAGCAGAGGCCTCAGGGGGCGTCAAGAAATAAATAAGGTCCCTGGTGGCCCAGTGCAGCGCTGGCAGGAAGGCCACTCTGTTTCTTCAAGTATTCTCGGCGGAGGGGGCGCGAGGCCCTGCCGGGCTCAGATGGGGATGCCCACGGTGTTCACCTGGTCCCTGAGCCCCAGCAGGCTGTAGGCGATGCGCTTCTGGTGGCCGGGCAGCCGCACTCCGATCCTCTTGATGTCACTGCGGGTGGGGAGGGACAGCAGGACAGTCAAGGCTGGGGGGCAGTGGCCAGGCATGGGGGACAGCTGGGGGAGGAAGCAGAGGGGGCCTTGAGGACCTGCGGGGCGAGAGAGGGGAGCCACATGCTAAGCCGGCTTGCCATCGACAGAGTCAGGAAAATGACAGAAGCCCTGACTCTGTGAGAAGTTTTGGGGTTCTTAAATCTTTGCAGTTATCTGTGAGGCAGGTGCTCTTTCTACCCCCATTTTGCACATTAGAGAACTGAGGCTCAGAGAGGTAAAGTGATTTGCCCAAGGTCACACAGCCAGTAGGTGGAAGAGCTGGAAATCAAACCAGCTGTGAACAAATGCCCCCCCTTCCCCCATCCCCAGTCTGTCGCTAATGCCCCCAAGCCAAGGCCTCCTCCCCACGCAATCCAGAGACTCTCCAGGGGCATCGCTTGAAGCCCCTCTCCCCATCCTTGAAGCCCCTCTCCTCATCCGTTGCCTCGTTTCACCCTCACTCCCTCCAAGCTCCCAGGGCGGGTAACTGGGGAGGGACCTGTCAAGGATTAACACTCCACAAATCTCTAATGGGAGGAGCTTGCCACCAGATCCAGGGACGGTCACCTGAGGCAGGTGTCTCCCCTTGTGGGAAGCTCAATTTCCGCACAGGTAAAAGAGACAGTGTAGCCCAGTGGAGGCTGGGAGGCCTCACAAACCAGCAGCCGAGGGGGAAGGCAGCATCGGTACCAGCAAGAGACAGCCGTGCCCAGGAGCCCGAGGCCCCCCCTCCCACCCTGTGAGGTACAGCCCCCACCCCCCAGGCTTTCCCTCCCCAGGCCCCTCCAGCCCCTCATAAAACCACTTCTGCTCCCAGGAACCCAGGAGCAGGGTATTTATTGCTCACCTTGGGAGTTTTCCTCCTCTACCATCCTCACCCACCAGCCCAGACCCATGAAAACACCTCGGTTTTTATGGGCCGTCTCTTGGCTGTAAGCGGAGCTAATTATACGGTGCCAGCTCCCATGTGCAATTCTGGAGACATGACTTTCCCACAGGCTCCGGGAGCCCGTGGCAGCAGCGAACTGCCCAGCAGGGAAGGGCAGGCCCAGGTGAGTGGGGAGTGGGGGCGGCTCCGGACCCCCAGGAGGGGCTGGCCGCTCCCACGGCAGCAGGAATACCAGAAGTTGGACACGTGGGAGAACTTCCTAAGCTACCACCCAAGTGGCCTTTCTAACTACACAGCTGGGGGCGCTGAAAAAGCAGCAGTGTTGCCCCTACACCCAGAGTCGCAAATCAAGGCCCGGATGGGCACTCAGGCCACCAAGGCAGGAGGCACTTACTGAAAGGGCAGGATCCCGCTCAACCCCAGACCCACTAAACTTGATGTTCCCAAGGCGGGGTGTCTGCATGCGATTGGGTCCCCCAAGACCCTGACATAGGGTTTAAGAACCGGTGGGTTATGTGCGCCCCAGGACAAGCGCTGAGACCTCGGTGCCTGGGCTCTTCCACCCCAGCTCGTCCCCACCCCTCCCAGGGACCAGGATAGGCCTGGCACACAGCAGGTCCTCGGGGAGAGTCTGCTGAAAGAGTGAATGAATGCATGCCACGGTGGGGACTGAGCCATCGTGAGACTCCTCTCCCAGAGCGGAGTGGTTAATCTCGCGGGGTGGAAGCTGAGTTTGCTTCTGAGGCCTGTTTATGAGGCCAAAGTCCTGGGGTGGGTGGGAGAAGGCTGAATTCCAGTCCCTGACCTCATGTCAAAGCTCGGGTGGTCAGGTCCTGTCTCTATGCCTCAGTTTCTTCATGTGTAAACAGGAGGCTTCCATTCCATGCTCCCAAGCAGCCTATCCCCACCCCCTCCTCTTTTAACACGAAGCCCCCTAAACCTTCCCCTTCCTTCCTGAGCACAAATGGCAGCACACTGGGATGAGGGTCCCAGGCCAGCCAGGGCCTGTGGCCTATTGCAGACCATCCCACGCTTGTTCTGGCCCCAGCCTCAGTTTCCCCTCAGGGATGCAGGGCAGCCACCCTCATCACATCCCCTCACAGGAGTGGGAACACAACACTGAAGCCCCCTTTGCACCGTCTGGTCCTTCTCCTGCACTCACAGTGCCAGCCCTGGCCCCAGGAAGTCCACGTACCCAGCGAGCACCTACTGTGTGCACCGGCCCTGCATGCAAGGAGAGGGGAGTGAGAAAGGGCTCAGTGAGCACCTACTGAGTGCAGCCCATGCATACAAGGAGAGGGGAGTGAGAAAGGGCTCAGTGAGCACCTACTGTGTGCAGCCCATGCATGCAAGGAGAGGGGAGTGAGAAAGGGCTCAGTGAGCACCTACTGTGTGCAGCCCATGCATGCAAGGAGAGGGGAGTGAGAAAGGGCTCTCGGAGCCTCGCGTGTCGGATCATTCGTTCACCCAGCAAACCTTCCTCCAGCGCCGAGCCTGTGCTAGCACGTGAAACCACAGGGCCCATCAACTTGTGCCCTTGACCCCCACACGGGACGCTGTCGTCCTGACACCGGACAGGGCCTGGTGGTGTACTGAGTGGTTTTCTGGGGTGTGACATCCACCCCTTCATTAGCCCCTCAAAAAATACTTCAGACCACTAGTCTAGTGTTTCTAGAAACCCAAGTGACTCTAAGATAGCATGGTGAGTGCTCAGGCTGGGAAGAGACGGTGGCTGTGCTCCCACAGGGGAGCAAGGGCTAGTCCCCTGGGAGGGGTCAAAGAGGCCAGGAAGGGGAGGGGGTGGGACGTGGAAGCCTAAATCCTGATCCCCTCGGGAAAGGGGTGGATTCTCCTGCGACCGGCTCCGAGCCTCTCGTTGGGATCCGTGGCATGTGCAGGCACAGGCTGAAGGTTTACAAAATTGCTTTGAGATCCCATTTATTTGTAGAGAGTCGGAGGGGAAGGAGGAGGCCGTGGTGGTGTGAGTCACGCCAGTGGGCCAGTGGGAGGAGGAGGGAGCCCTGAATGACTTCCTGCCTTTATCCAGGCCCTTTCAAAACAACACACTCTCCGGCACACACACAGCTCCCATCCATCCCGGGCAGCCCTGTCCCTGCTCGTGGGAAAGGAATTGGCCACGAGCACCCCGGGCTATTTCGGGAAGCCTCTGAGAACATGTGTTTCCTATAAGCGCTTCTGCCTGCCCTCGGCTCTGGCCACCAGCAAAGAAGCCGTGTTGTCCTTGGTGGGAGCCCCTGCAGGAGCGAGGGTGCTGGTCCAGGCTCCCAGGGAAAAAGAGGGAGCAAGGGAACCCCAGGATTTGCCCATGGGCCACAGGAGGAAAGTGAAGGGGTGCAGGAAAAGAGGGGAGCAGTGCGGATTAAGCCCCTACTGCGTACCAGGTGTGTTAACCGCGTCGCACCCATGCCATCCCCGCAATGGGAAACGGAAACCAAGGCTCAAAGTTGGACCTAATTTCATCAATGTCACCTGCTAGGAAGCGGCAGATGTGGGACCTGAACCCAGGTGTGAATGTAGAGCGTGAGCCTGTGACCCTGCCACAGACGGGCAGCAAGAGAGATCTGGGACCTGTCTCCCGGCTCCACGTCATGCCTCCGATTCCCATTGCCGCTGTCCCCTGAGGGGGGTTGTGGCCTTGGCCTGCGGGTCAGGAGCCCAGCTGACCAGCTTCCAGAGGCCCCAGAGAGCGTCCATGCACAGGCCCAAATCCCAGAACTTCTGTGACCCGGAACCGGGGGAGGGCCCAGCTTGTCGCCTCCAGGCATGTGGTTCCCAAAACCTCCCGGCCTGTTCCTGCCAAGACCTTGGACCCTGCACAAGCTGGGCTATTGGGATCCATCGCTATTTTTAGAAGCACAAAAGGCTAAGAGGATAATGTCTTCTCCTTGGGACAAGAGGAGGTGTCTCTGCCAAGGCTGTGCCGGGAAAGGTCCCCATCCACCCTGGAGCTGGGAAAGACAGAAGAGCTCCCACGGGGCAGCCTGACAAAGGGCCAAACCCAGGACCTGCAGAGGGCAAGTGGGACTTCTGGCAGGGCCGAGGGTCAACCCCAGGGAGAGAGGTGCCTGGGAGGGGCTGGCTGGGGACTCTCTCCTTGGCCTCCCGGAGAGGAATGCTGCTCTACTGGCTGTGCGACCTCATCCAAGCCAGGTCACCCCTCAGCCTCAGTTTCTGCACTAACGACCGATGTCCCCTGAGCTCTGGACCCTGACTGACCAGAACTGGGATCCTCCTCTGCCCACAGCGGCTACGGGACCCTGGGCAGGTCACCACACTGCTCTGCACCTGTTTCTCACCTGTCCAGCGGGGACATAACAGGACCTGGCCTGCCAGGTTCTCACGAGGACTGATTCAAAGCGCTTGAGCACAGAGCCGGCACATAGTCGGCCCTGGATAAACGGTAGCTCCCGTCGCGGTTACAATTGCTATCATTTCCCACTCTGGAAAGACGTGCAGGAAGGGGAGGGGGTGCCCGGGAGAGTGGGCGCCCAGAACTGCAGCTGCCAGCCTGGCTCTGCCCTTCCCTTCTAGGGGACCCCCTCACCCCAGAAGAGAGAGACAGAGCAAAGCAGGGAGCTCTGGGAGGGCAGGTTGGGGGGTCAGAGGCTGCCTCTGGCGGGGCCGGGCTGGGGTCCGACTCACTCGTTGGTCATCTGCACCACCTTCTCGATGGCCGTGTAGCCAGCTGCCATGAAGTGCTCCGTGTACTGCTGCATCTTGATGGACTCCAGCCACTCGGACACCGTGCGGAAGGGCACCCCCTCCGAGCCGCTGGTGCTGGGCAGCCGGATGGACACCCTGCAACAGGAACCAGGTGAGGGGTGGCAGCCCCCGGCCCCCTTGCAACCCGAGCCTGCCGCTCCCTATCCTGGGCAATTCACTCAGCTGCCCCGTGCCTCAGTTTCTTCTTGTGGGCAATAGGGAGGCCAAGTCAGGCAGGGCCCAGTGAGACAGGCTGGCACTCGGGAGCACTCGGTGTCTGCAACTCCTACTGCCCCTTGGCTCCTGCTAACAAGACCACCACCAAGGACCACCAAATCACGAAATGCTACCAGCAGACATTTGGGGTCCTGGGGTCACAATCCCAGCCTGGCCACTTGCCAGCCACGTCAGATGGAATTACTCTGTCTCAGTTTTCTCGCCCACAAAATGGGTATATTTTTAGGCTCCATCTCGTAGGTTATTCACATGAGTTAAAACGTGTCAAGTGCAGAGCGTGGTGCCTGCCGCACTGACCACACACGCTGGTCGCTTCTGTTAGGGTTCCCGAGGCCCATATGGTCTGAGTAAAGCTCATGTGTGACCTCTGAGTGCCACCCCTGCCAGCTGCCCCTGGCTGGCTACTTGACCATGTGGCAGGAGTCTGTGGGAGGGAAGCTGGGGGTCGCTGAGGGCAGAGGGCGCAGAACTCACCGGGGGTCGAAGTCCGCCAGGGTCTTGAGGGAGTCGGGGGCGCGAATGAGCTTGTCCAGGATGCTGACGATGTCGGCGAACTTGGGGCGGCGGGCGCGCTCCTGCTGCCAGCACTGCATCATGAGCTGGTAGATGGCGGAGGGGCAGTCCATGGGTGTGGGGAGCCGGAAGCCCTCGTTGATGGCTTTCATCACCTGGGGGGCACGATGGTCAGGGGTGCCGTGGCGGGAGGCCACCGAGACCTCATGCAGCCAGGCCCCTGGGGCCCAGCACGTGGAGGTGGCAGGGGAGGGAAGGGAAACAGAAACATCCCGGAGGCAGACAGGATGGGCCTTTCTTGATGCACGACCTGCAGAGCTACCCAAAGGGCAAGTGCTCTAGGGCTGTCCCCAGAGTTCCGTGGAGGAAGGGACTCTTTACAGGGCACCCAGGTGACAGCCAAGCTCTGCACCCTGCCCCCAGCCTCCCTCCTGCCGCTCCGCCCCCTCCTTCTCTTCACCTGCAGCTGGCCACCTATTGTATCCTTGGTCTCAGCAGAGACGTGACCTCCTCGGGGAAGCCTCCCCGGCCACCAGGCTGGCTGAGGCACCAGGCACAGACACACACACATATATACACACACACACGTACACACACGTGTGCACACATGTACACACAGATACGCATGCCTACCCCACTCCTTGTTTCCTTGCTTCTGCACTCTCTAAGCTGTAAGCAGGGACTGGGGTCTGGGCCCCAGAGCACGGCTGGGCACGTAGTAGGTCCTCCATAAACATTTACTGAATGAACCCGAGAATGGTCTCTACCAGATGAAGATTAGACCTTAAAACACTTCTCTGGCCGGCCCTGGGGTTTGGGAATGCGTAAAGCGTTTAAGTTCAGGCCCAGGCAGGCCTGGGTAGGGCCAGCGGACCCACCTCGTGGTTCGACAGCTCCCAGTAGGGCCGCTCCCCATACGTCATCACTTCCCACATGACAATGCCATAGCTCCACACGTCGCTGGCCGAGGTGAACTTGCGGTAGGAAATGGCCTCCGGGGCTGTCCAGCGGATTGGGATCTTGCCGCCCTGCGGGGGACCCGGGCCCAGTCACCACGGTCTCCCCCGGCTGGCCCCAGCACCGTCACGGCCAGGCCTCAGGGGCCCTCCCCGTGCTCCTACAGGTGCTCTTGCCTCCTGCGGTCCACGCCCAGGTGTGCAGGTGAGAGGCCCCGGGCAGGGTGAAGGCTGCTTCCCCCTCAAAGCCCCCACCCTCAGCACTGACAGCCCCTCCCTCACTCACACTGGTGGTGTAGGTGGCCTCAGGGTCGTCCTCCAGTACCCGGGACAGGCCGAAGTCAGACACCTTGCAGACCAGGTTGCTGTTGACGAGGATGTTGCGGGCGGCCAGGTCGCGGTGCACGTAGTTCATGTTGGCCAGGTACTTCATGCCGGCCGCGATGCCCCTCAACATGCCCACCAGCTGCAGCACGCTGAACTCGCCGTCCTTCTCCTGCCAGGGCACAGACCCTCAGCCGCCAGCCGGCCTGAGCCCACTGGGGCACCCCTGGGCATGCCGGCCCCCCACCCCCGCACTCCTGCCCACCACGGCCCACGTCCTCACCCGAAGGAACTTGTCCAGGGCCCCATTCTCCATGTATTCGGTGATGATCATCATAGGCTTGTCTGTGGGAGGAGGACAGGTGAGAGGGAGGCAGGCCCGGGTGTGCGGGAGAGGGGGGCACAGCCATGGACGGAGCCCCGCCAGGTGGCCCGGGCAGGCAGCCCCTCTCCACCCCCATGTGGTCAGGCCCGAGGGTCTCCCAGGGCTCACATTTGGAGACGACGCCCTCCAGGCGGATGATGTTGTGGTGGCTAAACTGTCCCATGATGCTCGCCTCGCTGAGGAAGTCCACCCGCTGCTTCTCCGTGTAGCCGGCTTTCAGCGTCTTGATGGCCACGGGGACGTCCTTCTTCCCTGAGGACATCTTCAGTGTACCCTTGTACACCTCCCCGAACTCTCCTGCGGGCAGGCCAAGTCAAGGGGGGCGCCCCAGTCAGCCCGGGTGCCGGCTCTCCCACCTGTAGGGCCCACCACCTGCCTCCCCCAGCAGGCGCGCCAGCCTCACCTGCTCCGATCACCTTCTGCCGAGTGACACAGGACGGATGGATCTCGGTGGTGAACTTGAGCACAGCCTGATTGGGGTCCTCGTATGTGTGGGGGTCCACATATGTCTTCAGGGGCTTTAGTTGTTCTGGAAGAGGGAAAGGGTGGGGTCACAGACAGTTCAGGAGGGGCCCCTCTGAGGGGTTGCCCTAGGAAGGGAGGATGAGGTCACACGACCAGGGACCTCAGGGACCAGGCAGGGGGACACAAACCCTCTGGCTGAGCCCCTTAGAGCTGCCTACGGAAGCCTCTAGGCCCACCGCCAGTGCCCCGGGAATGCCCGGGCTGCCCCCACGTGCACCACAACTAGGGAGGCCCTGGGGAAGCAGGGCCCAGGCTGGGCCAGGAGCAGGGGCTGCGCCTCACCTGACTTGGAAAAGTAAACGTCCTCCGAGGACTGGCGGGCTCGTAGCTTCTTCCTCCTGCAAGAACCCCGTGGGGAACCAACACACAGGGAGGTCAGCCAGGCCCACTCTGGCCGAGGGAGCCCTGGGCCTGCTCTGGTCCTGAGGGTGGCTGGCGAGCTCAGCACCACCGCCAGGGCAGAGGCACAGAGGAAGTGAGCGAGGGCTCACTCCTGGGGGTCTGCGCCCTGTGCGGCCCCTTAAGGAGCTGTACTGAGGGCTTCCTGCCTGCGCGTGCAGAGGAAGTGTGGTCACACTGCTCATAACAAGAGCAGAGACGATGACCACCACGTCCCAGGCCCCCACCGCGTGCCAGGCATGGCACCAGGCTCTCATTATATCTTCCTGCTGTCCGGAGGCAGGGATTAGACCAGACCAGAGACTGGATTACATTAGATCACCGCCAGCCCCACTGTGCAGATGAGGAAACCGAGGTTCCTGCGCTTCTGTGTCCCGCGCCAGCGGTCTGGAGCCCCTGACGAACCTGCAGTGGATGAAGAAGCCGATTCCGGCCAGCACCAGAAGGAAGACGACGCAGACGGCCACCCCGCCAATCACTGCCATGTTGCTAGATCCTTCCAGGGCTGTGGGGGAGACCAGCGGATGACAAGGGAGCCCCCCCCAAAATCACAGCAACACCCCCATTGCACCCAAGGCCCACCTTAGGGGCACCTGGGTCTCAACTACGTGCCAGGCGCTTGCACTTGTGAAGACTCATGAGGAAGCTCACCCCCACTTCACAGCTGGACACTGAGACCTGCCCAGGGATCTCCCAGCAGGTGTTCCCAGGTGGCTGGGACTCGAAGTGCTGGCCCTTTCTATGGTACGGATTTGAACTTGGGTGGGTCTGCCAGTGCCAGAGTCCCCACCCTTCCTCCACGTGACACTGCCGTGAATCCATGTCCCCGGTCCTGCGCCCTCCGCCCCCGATCCTTCCCTCTGCCCAGGCTTGGGCCAGCCCACACACTTCTAGGTCCTCTAATCTACTTCCTCCTCCCAGGATGTCTCAACTGCTCAGTTTCAAAAAGGGCCCCGGTCCCCCAACTCACATAGCGTCTGGAACTCGTGCACCTTGCTGCCGGCCCCCTGGCCCTCCTGCGTCAGCGCCTGAACCTGGACTAGGTAAGTGGTGTCTGGAGCCAGGTCATCCAGGGTCACGGAGAAGCCCTCAGTGCGGCGCACGTTGTAGCTGTTGGAGTCCCCCTGTGGGTGGCGGGCGGGCAGGGGAGCAGGCAATGAGGAGAGCAGGCGGGGCCTCGGCTTGGCCACCCCAGCTAGCAGGACGGCTCGCCTAAGTCGGCAAACTTGAGGCCCTCCTTACAGAGGAGACTGAGGAAACTGAGGCTGAGAGGTGAAGTGACTCACTCGAGGGCAGAACCAGCAAATGCATAAATGCCTGATGACCCAGGACACATGACCCAGGACTCAAAGACCCTGCTTCTTGTCCCCACCCTGACTGAGCCTTCCAAGATCCAGAACCCAGTGCCTTCTCTCCTACAAATCTCTGCCGGGCTGTAACTCTCTGGGAGACCCCATGCCTCAGTTTCCCCATCTGCAGAAGGGAGTGTGTTCAGACGGCTGTGTGGTGCCCAGCCCGCCACATGACCTGGCCCTCTGGGAGTTACCTTCTTGCGGTAGGTGACCTCGTACTTCCACACGCGGCTCTGCTGCAGTAGCGGGATGCTCCAGGCGACGCTCAGCGAGGTGGTGCTGCGGCCCTCCAGCCTCACCTTGGGGGGCTCTGGGCAGGACAGTGGGTGGGGGAGGGGTCACAAGCAGACCCAGAGCCAGTCCCCCACAGCCCCAGCTCTTTGGACCCCAACCTGGGATCCTAAACTTCCAGCTCCAGAGCACAGAGCCCCGAGACCTCGCCCCGGCCCCACCACAGTGGCTGGCACATCAGCAGTGCCCCATGAGTATTTACAATTCCATAGATAATAAAAATAAGGCAACAGCTGACTCTTGCTGAATCCCTTCTATGGGCCAGGCCCTGTTCTAAGAACCTGATATATAATACTTCACATCTTCTCGATTATTGCCCCCACTTTATAGGGGAGAAAACTAAGGCCCAGAGAGGTTAAATAACTTGTGACCACAGTTACAGTATTCAGAAGTGGCCCCAGAGACTACACTATATTTTTTTTTCAGACAGAATCTTGCTCTGTCACCCCAGCGAGGGTGCAGTGGTGTCATCATAGCTCACTGCAACCTCAAACTGCTGGGCTCAAGCAATCCTCCTACCTCAGCCTCCCCAGTAGCTGGGACTACAGGCGCCGCCACCATCCCTGGCTAATTGTTTCTATTTTTAGTGGAGACGGGGTCTCCTTCTTGCTCAGGCTGGTCTTGAACTTCTGGACTCAAGCGATCCTCCCGCCTCGGCCCCCAGAGTGCTGGGATTACAGGCGTGAGCCACTGGGCCCAGCCCAGAGACTACACTTTTAACCACATGCTCTATTGCCTCTCTCTGAACACAGCTGAGCCCGGGTGGCTGTCCTCTTTAAGTCCTCCCTGGGCAGGCCACACAGGGCGCGGACGCCACCCCCAGCCTCACCTGTCTGATTGATGCTGACACTGGCGGTGCGGAAGCTGCGGCTCGTCACCAGGCCCGAGACCCCGTTGCGGGCCTCTACGGCGAAGGTGTAGTTCATGTGGGGCTCCAGGTCACTGACGGTCACGCTGGTGCGGGTCAGCGCGTGCGGTGGCTCTGAGTAGTGCACGCTGGCCTCACAGGGCCCACACTCCCCGGACTCAGGCCAGCACTGTTCGCAGGTGACGCTATAGATGATGTCTTCACGGCCCCCGTTGTCCTGGGGGGGTGTCCAGCGTAGCTCCACTTTGGCGCCCATGCCCACGGCCGTGAGGTAGTGCGGGGCAGAGGGTGGGCCTGCACAGGGGGCAGAGGTCAGTGCTCCACTGGACCCAGGTGGCCCTGGACATGTCACCCTCGGTCACCCCTCCCTGACCCATGGCAAGACTCACGCGTGCAGGGCATCGACAGCAGGTCCTGAGGTGCCCGGAAGTAGCCTTCCTCACACTCGCAGGAGGTGGCACCCTCGGGGGACGGCAGCGTGTGGGCAGGGCACTCCAGGCAGGGGCTCTCAGACGCCTCGAACTTAAAGAGCCCAGGCGAGCAGGCTGGCGGGACAGACAGGACACAGGGACATCGGTTCAATCTGCTCCCACCCCCACCGACTGTGCCACACACCCTCACGGGGGCACCCCCAGCCCCGGCGAGTCGATAAGCCCCTGTGCGCCTGTTTTCTCATCGGGGAAACGTCTCGTGCTGAGGAAATGCGTGGCAAGCAGCGGCGTGCGCTGGGCACCGGGAAGTGCCTCGCCCTCACGCTACACGCCTTCGCACCACTCCCGCTGCTCTCGCAAGGCGCCCCACGCCCCTGCGCCTGGCGTTCAAGGCCACGTCTCGCCTTCCAGCTTCCTAAGAACCCTATCGCGGGCGGCTCAGCACTGAGCTCGCTGCCCGCCTGCCTTATCGCCTCGAATCTGCGCAGACCAGACTGTCGGGTCCCCATCTGGGCGGCTGTGAGCTGCCCAGGGCCATGGCTGCGTCTCCTTGACAGTGTTTGTTTGGTGACTATCACCACCACCCCGATTCCCAGCCGGCCTCACCGGCTCAGGGTGCCACCCCTGCGGGTGCCCCCCCACCTCTGCAACCCGAGGACCCGCCCGCCTTCCCGTTCCGGGGCTGGCCGACCAGAAAGCAGGAAAGGCCAGGCCCCCAGCATTTTCTCTGGCTCTGCTTCCAGGGCCTAGTCATTTCCGCCGCTCACAAGGGCAGCCAGGATGTGGCTCTTCCTCCCCCAGTGGCCGGTCCTGTCCTGGCCGGCTGGGGCTCAGGCACCTGACTCCGGTGGGTGTCCGGTGGGAGGCACTCTTCCTCCCACCACCCTATCCTGCCTCTGCCCCAAGCCCCTTCCTGGACCCACAGGCAGGAAGCTGCCCAGACACAAGGCCCAATGTGCAGGGCTGTCTTAGGCTTGGGCAGCTACTAAATTGGCCAGGGTGGGTTGGGGTCTCCTATTGACCTCCCCCTACAACCTACCATTACCCTCTTTAGCATATTCTGAGGAGAGGATCCTCAGATACCTCCTACCTCAGTGCCACGTTCATCAAACACTCACTGATCCTCTACCCCGTGCCTGGCCCCTTGCTGGGCCTGCACTGAGATGAATACAAAGGCCATGGACAAAGGTCAGGGAGCTGAGCATCTGACCAGGTCTACAACGAAGGGGTGGGAAAGGGAGAAGGGGAAACAACCTTGGCCAGCGGAGTCACAGAGAGGACATTTCAGCTAGGGTTTAGAGGCTGCGTAGGAGTTCAGCAGGGCAGAAATACCAGGAGAGGGAGTTAGGAATGAGAAAGCACATGATTAACACAGAAAGTGTTAGTGGCTTTGTGGGCACAAATGTGGGGGAACAGCAGGCAATAAGGCAGTTGAGAAAGGCCTTGAATGCCAGGCCAAGAAGATGAGACTTTATCGGGGGGAGGGCAATGGAGAGCCACTGAAGGTCTGGTGTAGGAAACAATGACAAAGTCAGATCTGCACTGTCAGGAAAAATTCTTGGACAAAGGCTGCCTGAAAGAGCCAGGGGCAACCTGGCCCCTGGTGGTCTGAGGACAACCCCCTCCAGGGAAGCCAATTTCAAGTGCCCTGGCCCAAGCCAACCTCTGACCAAGCCAGGTCTGTTAACCTTCAAGCCTGGAGTCTGGTGCCAAGACCCTCTTTGTCCAGGCCTGTGTGACCAGAGGTGTGGAAAGGGACTGGGAGTCGGGGACAAGGGCTCAAAGGACACCAGCTCTGTACGGTCCTGGACAGTGACTTCCTGTTCATGACTCTGTCCACGGAGTCAGACTGCATGCCTGTCCCCTCCCCACCTTGACCCCAGGGCCACACAAACGGCCTCTCTCCCGCCCTGGGCCCATGCTGCCTCGCCAGACCCTCCACACAGGCCCCGGGAGCTCGGGCAGGCGCCGCGCCACTGGGAAGAGGGCACGTCCAGGGTCACGCAGCAGGACAGAGGAGGGACCGACTCCTGCTCTGTGCAGAGCCTGGAGCCCTAGTGACAGTGACCTCCGATAAGCACCTACCGTGTGCAGGGCCCAGGCCCAGCACTTGCCATTCATTTAGTCCCTGCAGCAAACCAGTCCTGCGCGGGTGCTAGTAACACCCATTCCGCTTTGGAGGCGGAGAAACAGATGCTCAGAGGCAAAGCAGCTCGTCCAGGGTGTCCGAGCAACTAAGACAGGAAACCAAAACTTGGACTGAAGATGCCTCACTTTGAGCCTCTGTCCCTTCCCACCTCTGTGCTTAGCAACACCTCAATTTAGAGCAAAGAGAATTCAGTGTTCTGAGACAAGCCTGAAGACAATGAGTCCTGACCTGCTTCAACAGCCAGAAAATCCCAAGACGAATTTCAGAGCAGCTGGAGCAGTGTGTCTGCCCCAACCCCCAACACGGATCTTCTCAACCTGGGCACATTCGTGTCTGTGAGAAGAAAAGTGTAGACTCCAGCCCAGGAGGTTGGGTGGTCTCCCTCAAGCCCCAAATGTCTTTCAAGTCTCCCATTGTATTTAAGAAATCCATGTGTATTTTGCATTCCTCCCCATAACATATCTGCTATAGTACAAAAATAGCTCTCTCCGCCCCCAAATCTTCAAGTAAAAATGAGGCTTTGGAAAGCTGGTTCAGGCTTATCCTGGGGTTTCAAGTCCCCCAGATGCCCTAACTTGCCAAGGGGCCTAAGCCCTGGGTGAGCGCTGGCTCCAGGTGGTCCAGGCCTGGCAGAGTTGGGGCGCTCAGGGGAGGCAGGTCCGGTCCCTGGAACCACGGTCACATCTGCCCTGCCCAGCCCAGCTCTCAGGCCGGGCAGCGGGCCACAGGCCCTGCGGCTCAGACTTGGGTGCACTGAAGGCTTTAGCCACCTGTAAACCCCCACAATGTGCCGACTCCCCACCATGTGGTTGTTCCCAAGCCCCTCAGCCCTATACCAAGAGGAGGAAGTGGGGCAAGAGATGGGTTCTTTGGCCCCAGAGCCCGGAGGTGGCCCGCCCGCTGCCGCCAGGAAAGAGGGAATTTGGAGAGATTTCCGCTGCGGATGTGCCAGATAATACAGTGGAGAGGCAGCGTCAACAGGACAAGTGCTTGCCTGACAGCTCTGCTACCCCTCCTCCAACCACAGAGCCACTGGGGGCTGTCCCTGGGGCCCTGCCAGAGCTTGCAAGTGCTCAGGGGGCCCGGAGTTCGTGAGTAAGACCCCAGCAAGCTCCCGTGTCTTCCTGACTTTCCCTGGTTGGATTTCCCTGCATTCTGGGCAGGCAAGTGGGGACAGGGGCCACACATACTCAAACACAGCCACAAAGACCAAATACCCACTGTCCCTTAGCCAACCAGAAACTCCTATGCATCCTTCAAAACCCCTCAAGCTCCTCTACACAGCCCTCCCAGACTGCCCAACTCCTAACCCCCCTGTGCCCCATCAGGGCATCTATTACTCAATCTTATGTTTGCCAAATAGAAATGAGCACTTCCTACGTGTCTGGCACCACGCTGGGTGCTGGGACAGGACGGTGAGACAGATAAACACCGTTCAGCTCCAGGGGAGTTCACAGCCTGGCTTTCAGGCTCCATTTGAAATTATTTCTGCACCTACGAGGCTGGTAGCTCCTGGGGAGCAGGGCTGGGGTCTGACTTAACTGTGTCCCAGCACGGGTCAGGCGCGAAGTAGGTAGGTGCTCAGCTGCAGTCTGTGGAATGCATGGACGGACAGGTGAATGAATGAGTGAGCGGAGGGCAAACCTCCCAAGTGCACGTTAAACATACTCTCTGGGGCCACGGAAGTGAGCAGCATTTCAGCGACTAGGAAGACCCCATGACCGGGACGCCCACCTGCCTGGCACGAGAGCCTGACTTTGGCACACCCATGGCACACCTGTGGAGGGCTCCTCTGGGCCCAGGTGCCTGGCAGGCCCGGGCCACTCCGAGCAGGGGAACTGGGGCACGGTGGCTGCACCTAGGGCTGCACCCCAGTTTTTCCAGTTCCCGATGCCCGCCCCTCAGGTGGCAGCACAGAGTGACTCAGGGACAGACGCCCTCTTCTGACGCAAGTCCAGCCCCCAGCAGAGCCCATCTGCCCCAGGCCCAGCCACCTCCCAGGTGTCAAGAGGTCAAACAGCAATTCACCTGGGGCCAGTCACCTCCCTAAGCCTGGCCCAGCGACCGCAGGTGCCACCTCAGCCCAAGGATGTGCGGACTGGACTGTGTCTCCTGGCCCTGACGGACCGGGAACAGCAGCCTGTGAACTATTGACCCAGCAAATGAGGGGACTGATAACTCCAGACCCTGGTGGCTTCTCACTCCACAGCAGGCTGTCGCCCTGCAGAAGGGCGGCCCGTCTCCACGGCCGCCGACTGCTGCCAGCACCCTGCCCCTTTCACACACACCCTGGGGAATTATCTGCGGGCACATTCCTCCACCAAGCCGAGATAAGCACGGCTCCCCGCCAGCCCCGCTCCTGCTCCCTCCCTAGCACCAGCCTTTTATCTTCTGTTTGCTTTCCCTGGCCTCCTTCCTTCCGTTCTGGGGACCCACTTACCTCCGGCGAGGCAGGGAGGGGCTGGCAGAGCTGCCAGCACCTAGGTCTGCCCCCAGTGTGAGCTGAGGGCGAGGCGGGCAGGGAACAGAGGTCAGAGCCACCACCCAGGGGTGCTGCCACTGTGGTTCCCCCCACCCGGCAAGACCGAGGAAGCACCATGGAAATAGGGCCTGGTAGCATTCCCCAGGGAGGGGACAAGTCTGAGAGCCACAGTGAACAGCTCACAGGGGCCCTGGCCTGGGGATCGGCCATGTCCTGACAAGGCAGGACACCTGCCAGCAGCCCCTGCCACAGCCCAAGGCCACCTTGCCTAGAGACCACCCAGACCAGGGCCACCCCCTGCCCAGGGGACACTTCCCCGTCAGCTATGGACCCTGGGCTAGGCCATGCCAGCACTGGGCTCGGGATGCCAGCACTGGGATCCCCTCCTTGCCACACATGTGAGTCACATGATCAACAGCTTGCCAGGTTCTCAGATTGAGCCCCAGCAGAAAGTGACAGGAGGTAGACTCTGGGCACCAGGTCGGCAGGGTCCTTGAGAGACACTGGTCCAACCCACTTGTTTTACAGGTGAGGGGGCTGGGGCCCAGCCGGACTTGCCGGGGTCACACAGCTTGTGGGTGGAAGGATACGTGCCAGGGGCAACTGGGGACAGGACACTGCCCTCCTCAGGCCAGGTCCTGGTTCTTTTGGTCACTGGTCACTGTTTCCTCTCTGGGCCCCCGTTTCCTCATCTGTAAAATGGGGAAAAGTCCTCATCCTCTCTGGGTTGTTTGTGAGGACTGAAGGAAACCCCACTTATGAAACGTGTATCATGGTACCTGGAATGGGGAGTCCCTGTGACCTGGGGGATAATGAAACTCGAGTAGGGAGGGGATATCCCCAAGGAGCTGGGCCCCGAGGGAGCAAGAGCCTCTTGGGAGGGAATTCCGGGCCCCCCACAGCCCCCGCCTCCAGCTCTGGCCTCCCAGCTGCTGGGCCCAGCCTCTGGCCAAGGCCGCTGGCCACCTGCTCACCTGGCCAGCCATCCGCCGGCCGAGGCGCCAGCCGGGGCCCCGCCAGCTCAGCTGCCGATGCCAGCGCAGGAAGCAGAGACAAGCAGGGAGACAAAGCAGCCCCGGGGGGACGACGGTCAGCCTGAGTGACTCCACTGTCCCCGGGGCAGGCCCGGGGGGGTGGGGCAGGGGCCCAGAGGGAAGCTGGCTCATTCCTGACATAGCTCACGGGAGCTCTCTGGGCAGCGTGCCCACCTGTCCAGCACAGCACCTGGGAGGTGCCTCCCTTCCGCTGCCCACTTAACTCTTTCCTGAGCTCCGGGCTTCCGGGGGAAAGAGCCCTGAAGAGAAACGGACAAACTCTCGGAATAAACCGGACAAGGTGCTGGGTGACCTCAGGGTAGCCTGGCCCCTCTCTGGGTTCAGTTTGTCATCCGTAGAAGCCCCAGTGGGAGAATCTGGGTCTTTGACAAACCCCGCACCTCCCTCCAGTTCTCCCTCAACGTGCCTGGCAATGGTCTCCCGCTCACCCCTACCTCTGATGGAGCCCAAAACACCCTGCAGCAGGACCTGCCATCCCAGGGCTGCCCAGAGAGCCCATCCCAGGGCCAGGAGCTGAGTCAGGGATTCCAAAGGAACTGGTCATTTCCCACCCCATTTCCTGACCCATCCTGCAGCCTGGGCGCTGCTGCACCCTCTGGATTCAAATCCTGATGCATGCTTGAGCCCAGGCGTTCGAGATTGCTGTGAGCTTAGATCACACCACTGCACTCCAGCCTGGGTGACAGAGTGACCCTGCCTCAAAAAGAAAAAAAAAAAAAATTCTGATGCAGCCACATCCTAGCCATGTGAATCCAGGCAAGTCTCTTCACCTCTCTGAACCTCAGTATCTTCATCTGTTAAATGGTATGATAATAGTCCCTGCTTTGAAAGAAAGTGCCGCGAATTCAGCAAGAGCGTCCGGTTAAAGCACTTGCTTAGCTCAGTGCCCTGGGAAAGCACTTGTCCATGGCAGTGATTGTCATTATCTCCATGAGCATCATGATCAGGGACACATAAAGACGAGCCAGGCTGGGGGTCCCAGCATCTCACACACCAGTGCCCACCCACACCGAAAGGAATTTGGGTGGGGGTCCCCAGGAGGAAAACTCAGGGCAGTAAATGGGCGGCTGGCAATCAAGAGGGTCCCGCCAGCTAAGTCAGAAGTTTCGCTCTCAGAAACTAGTCCTCTTGCTGGGCTGAGTCTTCCTAAGAGGGGACTGCTCAGCCCTCTGCAAACAAAGCCTGCCAGAACCCTGACCCCCATCTCCAGAGGAGGGAAGGCTGCCCCCCTTCCTGGAGAGACCCCCCCCCATTCCAACCGTCCACTTATCTCTGCACGGCCTGAATCACCAGCCTGTGGAAAGTTTTCAGCTGCCCCTCACCCCCACCCCCGCATTCTTGTGTGAGGATGTCATGTGGGAGGGGCCTGCTCGCCCCACTGGGCTGCCTCGCCCCCCCCCACCCCACAGTCATTGTCTGAAACTGGGAGTGTGCGTTTGAGGTCACCTAAAGCAGGGGCCGCCTGGGGAAGAAGCAGGGGCTGCCTGGGGAAGGGGCTCACTCCGCACAGGGAAGCTGGGGGCACAAGGGGGTGATGGGAAGGGTCAGAGCGGAGACCACACCACAGGCTTATGGCCAGGAAGCCTCTTAGGGAACTTCTCATCCAGGGGTTGACAGACTGTGTTAAGCAGGGTTCTGAGGATTTGCTGTGGGAGGTAAGTGGGGCCCATTGGCAAAGGCTTCAGGGTCCTCCAACACCTCAACCCCTTCATGGGTTGCAGGATCCACGGCTAAAAACCAAGTGTACAGTCTGCTGGTGTTGAATTTTCTCATTTCGCTCACAGGAAACCTACGGCCAGAGGTGAGCTGGGATTCACCCAAGGTTGCCCGGCGGGCGTGTGCAACTGCAGAGACTAACCCTCAATTTCTCAACACCCGCTTATCTCAGCAAAGAAGCTCCCAGAGAGAGGGGGTGAGCTGGCCTTCCAAAGGTCGGCCCGCATTCCACAAATGCCCTGCCCCGTGGCCATTTCCAGAAAAAGTCACCCATTGAAAAATCCACGTTGCTGTGGAGATTTCCGCTGCCACAGGCCCTGCCGCACCAAGCCACGGCCTCCTCAGCGTGAGCTCGCCGTGCCCAGGCCCCATTCCCAGCGAGAGTCTGATTCAATCCGCCCCTTTTCTGGGCTCAGTTTGTCATCAGCAGAAGCCCCCATGGAAGAATGTGGATCAGTAAACTGGGGCGGGCCCTGATGCTCCCTCCACCTCTCCCCCAACACGGGCATTTTTCAAAAGTACTCTGAGTCCAGTTCAATCACCTCCATGTACAAAAGAGTCTGAGGTCCAGAGAGGTTAAGTGACTTGCCTAAGGGCACACAGTGAGCTAACAGAAAGGAAACTAGCTCCTGGGACTATACCACGTGTCCACAGTGCTGGTGCATAGTAGATACTCAGGACGCATCTGTGGGATGAATCAAAAATAACAGCTACCCTTAAAAGTACTATGTGTCAGGCACTGACCTAAGCATTTTACGAGCATTAAGTCATTTGATTATCACAACCACCCTGTGAGATGGACACTACAATCATCTTCATTTTACGGATGAGCAAACCCAGGCACAGAGAGGTTAAGGAAAGGGCCTAAAGTCACACAGCTAAATGCAGAGCTGGGATTTGAATTCAGGCATTCTCGTTGTAGGGTCCTCAAGTTTAGCCTCCCCACTATACTGTTTCTCTATTCACTTTTCTAGATGAAGGAGTGGATCCAGTCATAAATACGGAAACCGAAGCCCAGGGAGGCGCTATCATGTCCCTTCACAGAACCACTGCATGTCGGAGCAGGGATGAGCCTACCAAGATCCCACGGTCGCCGAGCTGAGACTGGAACCCAGGAATGCCGCCTCCCGCCCCAGAACCCCTTCCCTGCCACCTGGAACTGTCACTCACCCTGGCAGGTGTCCTCCACCTTCTCGTAGCCCGCCTGGCACAGGCACTGCCCGATGGGCACCAGCCACTCGCCATCCACTGCACAGTGCATGCGGGGCTCTTCGCCCCCCGGTGGCACCACAGCATGGTCCACGCAAGTGCCAGCCACGGTGGCCAGGGAGGGTGCGTCAGAGCCGGCGATGGTCTCAGGGAAGCGGGCCAGGCCCTGCAGCAGCTCAGGGCACTTCTTGTAGTAGACGCGGACAGAGAGCAGCGCCACACAGGCGCCAATGTCCTGGAAGGCCAGGTAGAAGCCCTTGCGGGTGAGTGGCCCCACGGAGCGCTCCTCCACGTTCAGCTTCACGTGGCGCGCCTCGAAGTCACCGCTCACGGTGATCTCGTCGGGTGCAATGGTGTCAATCTTGGTGAACTGGCGCTTCTGGAAGTTGGTGCCGTAGTCCACGTCCGACTCAGCATAGTAGAGGTTGAAGGTCTCCTTGCAGGAGCTGGCACCGCCGGGGAAGCTATTGCAGTCGCGCACGGTAAACTTGAGCTCGATGAAGATGCGCTCGGCCTCGCCGCGGTACACCCAGTTGGTGCGGAGCCAGTTGTCCTGGTCACCAGACACCACGTTGCACACGGTGTACATGTAGATGGGCATGTCGTTCATGATGTTCTGCATCAGGTCCCACTGTGTGGGGAAACCACAGGTCAGCGTGGGCAGGTGCCCTGGGGGAAACTGAGGCCCAGGTGGCAGAGTAGGGCATCAGGAAGACGCATTCCAGTTCTTGCTCTCCCCATTCTACACAGAAGGAAACTGAGGCCCGGAGAGGTGCAACTGAGGCAGAATCTGTCCCCTAGTCTTTCTGGCCCCAATGTCTGAACCTTGATATTACAAAGGGATGGAGTCTGGGGGCTGTGTGTGACCTCAGCCAGGTCACTTAAGCTTTCTGAGTCTCAATGTCCCCATCTGTACAATGGGAGCAAGATCCCCTGCCTCGTAGATTTGCTGTGAGGATAAATGACATAGTGTCTACAAATGCCAAGCACAGTGGTTGGCAGAAAGTAACAGCCATACGGCCGTGGTATTATTATTGTTGCTATTCACTGTGCATGCGGGTGTCCATATACCTGTGAGTGGCAGGGGAAGGGTTAATTCAAAAACAATGGCTGATCCTCCAACATTCAGGATTTGGCTTTGGAGCAGATCAACGTGTGTTCTTCCCTCGGAACATAGCTTGGCCTTCTCTGGAAAAACTTCCCAAGTGGGGCCATGGTTGGGCCAAGTGTCTCCCTCTGGCTCCCAGTCTCATGTCCCCGCAATCATAGCACGTGGCACAGGGGACGCCTACGTCTGGCTCCCACACTAGATTCTGAGCTCCTTGGGCAGGGACTGTATCTAGTTCGCCTCTGTATCCCCAGGGCCTACCTGGAACAGAGCAGATGCTCAGGGAAGTATTTGTTGAACGAATGAACAAATGAAAGCAGAGGAGAGGAGGAGAGAGGCCTGTGTTGCACTGTGTGGTATTGGCCAGGGCCCTGTATGCCCTTGGGCCTCAGTTTCCCACTCTGTATAATGACTGGGTTGGATGAGGTAATCTGTGTTCCCTCCCAGCTGGACATTCCCGGATCCTAGAAATCCGCTCAGAGCTACATCCCAGGCCTGCCCAGAGCTAGAGTGACCAGAGACAGGCACCTGGCTCACATAGATCTGGCCAGCTATGGGTTCCATTCCAAGAAGCCCCCTGGAGACACCCCTCTCCCCAGTTCAGGACCCCAGGACAAAATCGGCAAGGACCCATTGTACAGAGGGAGAAACCGAGCCCAGAGAGCAGCAGTATCTTCTCCAAGATCACACAGGAGTCACATGCAGAGCTGGGGAAGGACCCCAGGGCCCTGCCCACCAGCCCTGGCCACAGCAGGGCAGTCGGAGGAGAGGAACCCTGGGTGGGAAGGAGCAGGAAGGGGAGCAACAGCTGGGCAGCGGGAAAGGGGCCCCGGCAGGAAGGAACTTGATCAGGCCTGCCTGTGCCCTGTCTCTCCTTCACCCCTCACCTCCTGGGCTGAGACCTCAGGATGGGGGAGTCTTTAACCCCTTCCCTCCCAAGAGGTGGGTGGAGGGAGCCAGAAGGTCCCTGTGACCATTGGCCCTTCTGGGGCACCGAGGCTCCCACTCTGCCAGGGCCTCCAGCCGTCCCCCCAGCTCCTCCTGCCTCTCAGCCCTCCCCACCTTCCCACCCCCAGCCAGCCCCAGGGTGAACCCTGGCTGAGCTGCTGGATCGAAGCCAGGCCCCACGCTCCCTGGGTCTCAGTTTCCCCATCTGCACAGGAGGGGACCAGCCGCCCCATTCCCACCCCAGCCCCGTCCTGACAGCTTACGTACCCCTTTGCCATACGGGTGTGTGAGCCAGCCGAGCTCCCCCTTAGCTGCAGCAAAGTCCAACAGTACAACTGGAAGAGAGACGGGAGGGGGGCCGGGTGAGCTGGGGGGCGCCTCCACGAGTCGGACCATGGCAGAAACCGTGGGAGTCCCTCCTGGAACCCCAAGAGGCCTTGATGGCCTTTTCAGCTCTCAGACAGAGAGAGACCTGACTACACAGGGTCACCGTAGCCAAGAAAACCGTCCCTCCACAAATAGGGAAACAGAGGCCCAGAGAAGGCGTGGGACCCAGTCGAAGCCACGCAGCAGGTTGAGGTCAGGACTGGGCCTCCTGTCTCCCGCCACGCCGCCCCCCTCAGCCAGCCCCCAGCTGGGCAGGGCAGGCCGGGAGCTCAGCCCAGCGGGAGAACGGCAGCTGGGCAGAGTGCTGGGGCGAGCGGGGGGGTATTAAGTGGCAGCACCCCGCCCCGTCTGCTTCCTTGAACAAGTCCCCTCACAGCACTTCACACACACGTGGGCCTTGGGGACGGTGGCCCAAGGACGCTGCTATCTGCTTCTGCACCATTCCCCCAGCATGGAACACCCCAACCCTGCTCGGGCCGCGCAGCACGCACATATGCACATGTATGTACACATGTGTCTCCCGCACTCCAAGAAGAGAGCGCTGTTAACAGGTGGGAACAGCTCCAGGGGAGGGGGGAAGGGGGGTCTCTGGAAACTGATCTTCCCACCACAAAATCCACAGAGCAGGCAGGATAAAGCCCTGAACCCACAGGGGCCTCTAAGAGGGGCCCAAAGATACACACAGCTGGCAAGGTCCCCTCCCTGGGAAAGTCGCTTCCACCGCCCCCTGCCCTCACACCCTGGCCACTGCCCTGCCAGGGGTACCAGGGATTCCCGGGAAACCAGGGATGGAAACCCTTGCAGGGGACTTTCCAGGCTCAGAGGGACCAGGTGCCAGGACCACAAGGTCCTCAGAGAGTCATCTGGAGCCTGGCGAAGGGACACACTGCCAGGGGCTTCCCTAGACCTCGCTCTGCCCTCAGGCATCTCCCATGGGTCCACTTCTGGTCCTCTGCCAGGCTCAGTGGCCACAGGTTCTGCCCCTCCTCCATTTCCAAGCAAAGTCCAGGTAGCTGCCAATAAGCACTACCTTCCTTGGAGGGGAAGAAGAGTGGGGAAACTGAGGCATAGAACCTATGCAAGGTCCCAAGATTTGGAGGATAAAGTCCTAGGTGTCGAGGGAAGGGGCCAAGTAATCGCTTCCTCTGAGCCCTGGAGCATGAGGAATCTGACCTCAAGAAGCAGCATCCCTCAAGGCCAGGCAGGGGCAAGGCTGCAGCTCCAGGCAGGCTGGGAGCAGGGATGGATGGCTTGGTTTGGGGACATGGAGGTGGGCTCTGAAGGTGGTCTTAGAAGCCCTCTCCCGAGGTTAGATGGCCTCCCTCCCTGGGCTGAAGGCCCCAGCCTGGGTGTGAGGCGCTGCTACCCTGACCGCTGACCTGGGCCAAATCTCTCTAGGAAGGGCCCAGCTGCCCAGACAGAGAAAAGGAAATCCGATGTGGCACCGGCCCCATGGCAGAAGCTGTGGGGATAGGGGAGGTGACTGGGGGAGGGGGGCAGGGATTTGTTCGGACATGCCCAGGGCCCCGGCTTGGAAAACTCACTAACCCCACTAGTAAATGGAATGTTCCGGCTACACAGGAAGGAATCTGGAGGCTCCTGGCTTTAGCAGGGTGGGTAGGAGGACAAAGGTGAGTGTTCCTCACAGTCCTGCACACACACCCCTGGCAGGGACAGGCAGGGTGGCAGGAAGCTGAGGTCTGTGCCCCTGAAGAGGGGCTCATCCTCCTGGTTCTGAAGGGTTAACCTGGCATGGAGGATTTCCCCCAGCCCCTCCCAGGAAGGCCCTCCCCTTCCAGCCTGGGCCTGGCTCTGGAAGGAGCACAGGGCTCAATCTGAGAAGAAAAGAGCCCTCACACAGGAAGGAGCCTCCCCCAGGGGCTTCTAGCCACGGCCCCCTCCCCGGGAAATTCCCTAGAACCAACCACCAGGAACAGGAGGCGCCCAGCCCTGGTCCCTCCGCCCCGACGCGGGTGCGGCTCTTTCCCTGAGTTCTCCCAGGGCAGAGGCTCCTGCTTCCCCGCAAGGAGTAGGAGCCTGGGAGCTCCTCAGATGCCCCAGACGGCTTCACTGAGAGGCCTGGGCAAGGGAAGGCCTATGCATGAGCCCTCTGTCCCCTCACCAGCCCATCCCTGGAAAAATCCTCCTTCTTTGCCTGAAGTTCCACCATAAATGTCATCTCCATGGGTCCACATTGCTTTACAGCTTCTGCCACAAATGGAAGACTACCACCCACTCCCTACTGTCACCTCCCTGCTCCTCCAACCCTCTTTAACCATTACTAGCTAATACCTAAAGAAAGGGGGAGGTGAGGACTCGGTGGGGGGGAAACATGAAGAGAGAAAAAAGATAGGGGACAGAGGGCAGGTTGGGCCTTTGCAGAATCAAGCAGCCAAGGACTTCCCAGGCCTGCTGGCACTGTCCACCCCCAGCAGCATCCCAGCTCAGCACCCCCTGCCCACCCCCAGGCCCCTGCCCAGGCATGCCCCCCTCCCAAAATCCTCTATGAAGCCAACTACAAGGCAGGGGCCCTTGACTCTGGCAGCCCAAGAAGCCAGATGCTCAGGTCTGACCCTCTCTGTGCAGAGGGCCTTGGCTGGTGAGGGCTCAGGCCTCCCTCAATTTACCCATTAGTAAAAAGAGGGCAGACTCAGTAGCTGTTGAGGACCTAACAGGTTCCCCCTGAGTCTCCAAATACAGCAGGGCAGGTGGGGGAGGGGGCAGGAAAGGAGAAGAGAAGTTTGCAGCAACCCAGGTTAGGGGTGGAAAGGGCATGTGTGTCCTATCTGCCACCCAACCCACCCCCAGGCAGACCCACCACATCCAGCCACACACCCCAGGAGCTGAAACCTGCAGCTGCCAGCTGGGCCATCACTGCCACCCCCATCCAGGCACACTTCCCTGGGAGTCACTCACAGGGACTTTTGGAGCCTAAGCAAAACTGTTCTACTACCCAGTACACAAGTCTTTCCTCTTCCATCCCGTGGGGGGACGGGCATAGGGTCTGAGATAATCACACTGGCTGGGGACAGATGGACATGGGACAAGGCAGCTCAGGCTTGCGGGCTGGCGGCTAGGGCTGCAGCGGCAAAGCGACCGCTTAATCCCCCCTCCTCCCCCGTGGGCAGCCTAGGAGAAAGGCTTGCAGTGATTCCAGCTGTCTCTCCCCTTCTCTCCAACCACAGTCCCCCACAGGAAGGGGGAGGACCAAAAATGGGGGGTGGTATTGAGGGTCGCAGAAACCCCTGCCATGCGCGCTTCCCTGCAACCAGAGCTCCGGGTTGGCACCAGAGGGCCTGTCTGCTCCAGGGACTGGGACAGGATGCCACCCCAACAACACCCTCCGCCCCCCAAGGTCTCGGCTCTGGCCTCTTTTCCTCCCAACATGGACTAGCAATACCTCCGACCAGTTTAGGAGGCGGAAAAAGAAATCAAGGTTTAAGGAAACTTCTCACCCACCCAAGGTTTCCTCCACTCCCCCCTCGTGGAGCCTGCGGAAGCCGGGGGAAAGCTTGTTCTCACCGTTGGAAACCGAAGCCGGCCTCAGCTGGTTGGACAGGGAGGGCTCGGCCAAGGGCAGGAGCCCCCATCCTCCCCGCGACCCTAGCTGAGGGGCGACGCCCCCAGCCACACACCCGCCCCGCCCTGAGCGAAGTCAGCGGCCCCTCGGCCAGCGCGGCTCCGGGAACGCTGGGCGGGGGAGGGTGATTCAGTCCCCCACCCCCGGGGTGCCCCGGCTCCCTGGTGGCCCTGGGGTGACGGCTCCGCACCTCGGCGGGCCGCGCCCCCACCTGCCGCATTTCCTCGTTCTGAGTCACCCCTTGCTCAGAACGCTCGACTTTGGGACTTCCTGTCCGCACTCGCGGCCCCTAACCTGCCCCGGAGGCCGGGAGGGCGGCTAGGGAAGGCGAAAGGCGCGCGTGGGCAGGACCGGCCCGAGCCTCCCCCCACGCCCTCCCCGGGGACGGGAGGCAAAGGGGGGCGTGGAGAAAATCTCAGGGAGCAGGAGCCTCGGCAGGGGGCTCCCTGCCCGCCGAAGAGCCCCCTCCCCAAAATGCGGGGCCTCCGCAGAAACACCTTCTCTGCAAAACTTGGGCAAGTGAATTAGTGAATTCAGGTCGCTAAGACGCTGAACCCGCGGAAAGCCCCCCAGAACCCCCTTCTCCAAGGGACCCCCACGTCCCGCGCCGGGATGCGTTCCCGGAGCCGCTGTCGAGGCTGCAACCGCGTGGCGTGCGCCGCGTCCCCTTCTCTGCGGCCTCCGAGCCCCGCGCACCGGAGCCGAAACCCTAGTCGTCTCTGGAGCTCCCATAACCCCGGGAGGGTGTCCCAGGTTCGTCCGGATCGCAGCCCGCACGCCCTCCGGACCCCAGCGCGCCTGGACCAGGCGGCGCCGGGTCGGTCTCCAAAGTTGCGCGCGTCCAGGCGCGCCGGGCTCGGGGAGGCGCTGGGGTCCCGGGCTCGGGCGGCCCGGCTGGGTCCGACCCGGGCGGCAGCCGCGCGCACTCACCTTCCTTGCCCTGTGCCGCCGCGGCCGCGGCCAGCGCGCAGCCCCACAGCAGGGCGAGCCAGGCGCGGGCTGCCCGGCGCTCCATGCCGCGCCCCTCGCTCTCGGTCCGAAGCTCCGCGCCCGCTCCCGCACGCCCGCACGCTGGCCTCGGTGACCAGCTCCTGCCCGCCGGTCCGCGCGCAACTTCTGCCCCTCCCGCCCGAGTCCTTAATGGAAGTTGGGTGAGAACGGGCTCCTGTTCATTCATGCCCCGCGCTGACGTCACCAAAGCCACGCCCTCCGGAATGTCTTTAAAGGGGCCGGGCTGGCACCCGGAGGGGAGGGAGGGAAAGTCCGGAGGGGTTTGGGAAGGACCTTGAGTCCTCTGGACTCACAGGCGCCCCCAAGGCCCTCCCGAGTTTGAGCACCTCAAAGCGCCAGCGCCCCTAAGGGTTATTCCCTGGGACCCTCTGAGCCCGGGATCCTCACCCACAAGAGGGGATGGTTTTGCGCTGAGCCATTCCCACTCTCACTCTTTGTCCTCCCAGACTGAGTTCAACGTTGGCCTGCAGGCCTGAGCTTAAATGGGTTGGGGGTCCAAGAAGCAGTTGCCTCCTTAGCAGCAGGCCTGGGAGAGGAGCCGCGAAGAAAGAGGCTCCTCTTCCTGGAACCTCTGAAGGGTGGCCCAAATCTTGATGGTCAAGGACAGCGTCTGGGTTCAGAAACCTCCAAGCCAACTGTAATCTAAGGAAGGGATCAGACATACACTATCTCATTTCATTCTCATCTGAGAGGCAGGTGTCATTATCCCCATTTTACAGAAGAGGAAACTGAGGTTCCAGGAGCTCAAACAACACACACAAAGGTGCACAGCTCACCGGTAATACAGGCAGGGTTTGAATCCTGGTGGTTTCTGCTGTAACCACTGCTCCATATTGGGGAAGGGTGGGCAAGGGGCCACTGTGCAGGTCATTGTCCCTAGCCCCTGACCCTGGCGTGGCAGAATCATTTGGTACGTCTTGACCCTTTGGAGGACACCTGCCTCCCACCTGCTCCTTCAAGGGGCCTCTTCCCAAAGGTTCCTCAGACGTGAGCTCATCTTCCCTCCTGACAGAAGCGGCTGGTGTTAGTAAAACAAACGGGAAATATTCTCTCTCTGGCTTGCCCAGCCACCCACGGCTGCCTATTGCCCAATCACCATATGGCCAGTCCCGGAGGAGCAGCTGTGGCAGGCCTGATTTCCTGGGAGGCCCCAGGCCTCCTAGGCCCACCTTCTCTCTGACCCCATCCTCCCCTCCACTGCCCTGGACCTGCTCACTCAGCAACCTGGGTCCTCCCTGCCAGATGTGGACATCTTGGCCTCTCAGCCTTGGTGCCTGCCCTTGGGAAGCGGGTCCAGACATCTCCCCTGGAGGAGGAGAGGAAGGGTTAATTACAGGTGTTGGGGTTAATTAAGGCCTTTGACCAAGATGATGGGAGGGGAGGCTTGGTCTTCTGAGAGTGGTGTGCAAGCGCCCATGGGAGGGAATGCATGTGTGAGTGTGTGAGATCATGTTTGTGCATGTGTGTATAGACATGAAGAGTATTGATGTATGTGTGTATAGACATGAGAGTGTTGATGTATGTGTGCATGAACATGTGTGTGTATGGATGTGAGAGGATTTGTGTATGAGTGCGTATGTGAATGTGCCATACTTCACAGTGGTTGTGAAGTCAGCCTGTGAGTTTCTGGACAAGTTATTTCACTTCTCTGAGCCTCAGTTTGCTCATTGGGCAGATGTAAAAACCTGTTTTGGAAAGTTATTATGAAAATCAAATAAGGTCATGTATGTAAACCACTTGGGCCGGGACTCCAGGAAGCACCCATCAAATCTCAGCTGTTACTGGGTCACACGCAACTGAGCAAGAGGAAGTGCTTCTCGGATGGCAGGACATGTGGTGTACACAGGGCTCTGTGCATGGGCATGTGGGGTGTACGGATAAGTGGGGCCTGTGTGTAGTACGTGGTATGGATGAGCGTTTTGCATGTTGCATTGGACCCTCTAGGCTAGGGACACTGTGTGGTGTGTGTAAGACTCCATGTAAGTTGTATGGAAGAGCCTGGTTGTACATGTGTGTTAGATGTCATTTGCAGGATCCATATATTCGATGTGTCAGGGGAAGATACACTCCAGGAGGGCAGGGATGTTTGCCAGATACACAATAGGCACTCAGCAAACCTGTGCAGAATGAATGAACTATTGAGTTCATTGAACTAATGAGTTCAAGGTGTTGGCAAGTTCTGTGTTGCAGGAAAGTCTCCGTATATAGTGTTGGTTGGTCTTTCGGGTGGCAAGTGTGGTTTCCATGTGTGGCCCCAAAAGGGTGGACCCAAGCACATGGCAGGGGTGCAGGCAGGCCCTGAAGGCAGTGAGTCATATGCCTGGCCATATGTGCCCAAGCTGGGGGCCAAGAGCACAGAACAGGGTGTCACTCACCTGCAGCAAGTGACGTGAGCACAGGCCTGTGGGAAGGAGTGGTATATGAGGTGGCAGGAGGGGAGGACAGTTGCCTGGTCTTTAGTCACCCACCTGGTGACACGCCCTTCCCTCTTTTCCTGTCCTGATTCAGAGTTCTTCCCGCTTTGGGTGACTGGATGCTAACGTGGAAAGTTCTTCAGTGAGTTTTACAAAGCGGCACTGAAACATGGTATTTATAGTGACATAATCAGCCCTAATGGAGATGGAATTACCCCATAAAGGTCCCAAGGAGCCCTCAGGGCCTGAGTGCCACTGCGGTAGGCAAGACATCCAGTACGGTTGGGTGGAACCTGAGTGTGTGTTTGCGTGTGGCTGCCTCACCTGCTAATCCCCACCTCCAGCCCACCAGCCTGCCCAGGTGCCCAACTTTGCTAGGACACTGCCGGGGCTGGGGGCGAGCAGACGCCAAAGATGAATGTTGAAGCCGTAGCTTCACCCGCCCTACCTGCCTTTAGCCAAGAGCATCAGAAAAAATAATTATAGCCACCACTTATAAAGTGCTTACTATGTGCCGGGCCCGGTTCTAAGGACTTTGCCTATGCTGACCCCTTAGTCTCATGACAGCGCCCTGAGGTGGGCACTGAGGAGTGAACTTGCTCGTAAAAGTTGGAGCTGGGAGTCTAGCCCAGGCAGTCTGGATCCGGCACGCACCCTCATGGGTACCTTTCTCATCCACCGCCTCTGAATCCCACAGAACCCAGAGAACGCTCCCCTAAGCTGGAACGATGTGCCCACTCTCTGCAGCCGGGGTCTTCATGTCTAAATACTACCTCTTCAGGGAAGCCCCCAGGGATCAGGCCCTCCCTGGAGCCGCTGGAGTCCCTACGCTACGTGCCCACCAGGACCCTGGTCTTAGCCAACCGAACTTATTCTTTTTTTTTTTTTTTGAGACAGAGTCTCACTCTGTTGCCTGGGCTAGAGTGCCGTGGCGTCAGCCTAGTTCACAGCAACCTCAAACTCCTGGGCTCAAGAGATCCTCCTGCCTCAGCCTCCCAGGTAGCTGGGACTACAGGCATGCGCCACCATGTCCGGCTAATTTTTTCTATTTTTAGATGTTTGGCTAATTTCTTTCTATTTATAGTAGAGATGGGGTCTCGCTCTTGCTCAGGCTGGTCTCGAACTCCTGAGCTCAAGCAATCCTCTTGCCTCAGCCTTCCAGTGTGCTAGGATTACAGGCGTGAGCCACCGCGCCCGGCCTGAACTCATTCTTGTCTTTCAGAGCCTGTGAATTGTCTTCCCAACTAGACTGTAAAGCTCCCCAGGGTAGGGGACGAATCTGACACCCCTTTGCATTGCCGGCACCAGCCGGAACAGTGCCCCGTACACAGGAGCCGGTCAGTAGATGCCACATGTGATGGTTACATTCTAAATCAGTCCCCTCCACGTTTCTTGCAAGCCTGCCATATGCAGGGCCACCTCACCTATGTGGACTCATTTAATCCCCCTACTAGCCCTGTACAGAAAAACTAACATTGCCTCCATTTCTGCAGAGGAAGAAAGAGGGGGTCAGAAAGAACCAATTTGACTAAAGTTACACAACTAGTACATGGCGGAGGCGGAACTAAACAGTTAAGTGTGTCTCCCCCAGAGCCCCGTCTGCTGCTCCTTTTTGAACACACCACATGCTTTCAGGTCCAAGCTGCACCCTGCCTCGGTGCCCCTTCCGTCTGGGCAACTCCTACTCATTCTTCAAGACCTACCTTGGTGTAGCGCAGGACAACGGAGGCCCAAAGGGTAGGAGAGTGCCTGGTCTATAGCGTGTGCCCACAACAGATTTGGTGAATGAATGAATGAATGAATGAATGAATGATGGGTCCAGCAGACCTGGATTCTGCCATGTAACCAGTTGTGAGGCCTTAGTGGAGCTGTGTGACCTCAGCTACTTGGTCTGTAAAATGAGCATAATAGTGGTTTCTACCCTCCAGGGCTGCTGCTGGGATTAAACGAGATCATGCATCTAAAGCCCTTTGCACAGTGTCTGGCACACAGTGAATGTGCGTTAAATCTTAGCTATTGCCACCTTTATAATCAAAAGTCACTGCTGAAAAGCCGTCTGGGCTCCTCGGGGCCAAATAAATAGTTTCCCCCTGGAACAAACCAGAGCCCTCACAGGGTGTTTTAATTCCCTCCCATTAGGCAGGGAGCGCCTTGCCGGTCAGAGGCCCAGTTTTATTCCAGCTTGCCATTCCCAATGGCGTTGGGCATACAGTAGGTGCTCAGTAAATGTTTGTGGGATACACACACATGTGGTTACTGGGGCCCATCTTTTCCGAAGAACATATTCCCCAACTGCAGCCGCAAAGTGAGACTTTTTAGCTTCTCAGGTGAGGTTTCTGGGGTGAGCCTGCCTGAACAGTTTTGCTACGGACTCACCTCCCCACCCCCGCCGCCCTCATTCCCCCGCCTCAAATAGGGCGATTTGAGGTGGGAACGGGGGACTTACATGTGAGCTCCCGGATTTTAAGGGGAGGTAACGCGGGAGGAAGGCCCCCAATAATTGCCGGGCTTCCCCCACCCCCAAAGCCGGATTAGAGGCTGCGCCGCTTCCTTTGGGGCTCGCTCGCGCTTCCTGGGAGCCTTTGAAGTGGGTTCTGCGCAAATCCTGCCCGCGGGGCCTGGATAGGGGCGGAGCCTCCGGGCGGGGCGGGGCCTCCGCCTGGGCCCGCAGCGGGGCTACCGCCACCGGGTCGCTGCGGCGGCTTCCGCACCCCTCCCGCCCGGCCCAGCAGCAGCCTTCCTCCAGCCCC